TTTTTTTTTTTTTTTTTGGTTTTTCAAGACAGGGTTTCTCTGTAGCTTGGGAGCCTGTCCTGGAACTAGCTCTTGTAGACTAGGCTGGCCTCGAACTCACAGAGATTCACCTGCCTCTGTCTCCCGAGTGCTGGGATTAAAGGCATGCACCACCACCGCCCAACAATAAAATACTTATAAAGAAAAAAATAATACAAAAATGTGAGGAGAGTGCCTCTGTGTTAGAAATAAGAATCAGACTGGCAATATTCTGACGCTGGAAACGGACTCAGGTAACACTTACAGAATGTGCTCAGTTTACCAGAAGCCCCGAGCTGTCTAGTTACCACCCGTGCACACCTCCACGTACCTGAGTAAATTCACCTTTGACCAAAAGTGACCCTTGCTGTCCAAGGAAGCAGGAACAGGGAATATGGCGAGGGCTTGCTCGCCAGGCACACTGACTTTAGGAGGACTGGCTCCAACCTGAGGATCCCTGAAGGTCAGGGTATCCTGCACTACAGAACGGGACACAGTTACCTATCTTATCTTTTACTGTGCTGACCTAGCTAGCAGCACGTAACTGGGGCCCTGACGTGCTTTCCCGAGCCGCGAGGATAATTCCTATCTGGAGGGCTAAGGGTGTGGTAGAACGCTGCTGTACCGTCCCAAGCCCCGCATCAACTGAGTACCACAGCGCTTATCTGCAATCCTGGCACTCAGGTGAGGCAGGACAATCGCGCCTTCAAGATCATTCTCAGTCACACCAGTGAATTTGAGGTCAGCCTGCGCAACATGGGAGCGTGTCTCAGAAAAAAAAAAATCAAATATCCATCTGGAATTCTAATTCTGACTCAAGGTTATAAAGTGAATGCTTCTAGGAAGCCAAAATCATGAAACTCTCCACTCCTCTCACCCTCCCTCATGCCTCCTTCCTTACCTTCTCTTCCAACTGGTCTCAAATTAGCCAAATGCAGCTTACAAGCGCAACGTCAGACCACAGCAGCTGCTGGGAGGCCCAGGGTCTCTCCACCAGGGACGGGAGCTGGCCGGTCTCAGCAGTAGCTGGTGAGTCTCAGCGCTCCCACCCGTTTCCCTGGCTCCCACCCGTTTCCCTGGTTCCTACGGGATTCTCGGAGGACCCTATTAAACCTAAACCAGGAAAAATGGGCGTGGCCTCCTCCCAGCCTCAGGGAAATATTTGTCTCTTCTTCCTCCAGTGAGTCACAGATTAAGGTTGGAAAAGCTTAAAGTGTGGAGAGCTGGACAGTGTCTCCTCCCTTAGTCTCACCGTCACCAGTTTCCTGGAAGCCAGATCTGTGTGGACTGTAAACCACGAGGCCTAAAGGGCTATCTTTGAAACTACCTCTCACCCACCCTCCGCCCTGAAGGGCCCCTAAGGTTCCACAGTAAACACTAGCTGCCAGCTGACCCTCTCCTGACGTCCTGCTCTCTTCTCTGCCTCTCCTGCCTGAGCTACAGACTCTTAAAGATTTTTCCTTCCTCAAACGTTCTGAGGAAGATAGCCCAGTGTTAACCCTACTCAGAAAGATCAAGAAGTCAAGCCCAGGCCCTGAGGCTTCCATGAAACCTAAAATTGCAAGTCCTGTCCTTCTCTGGGCCTTGGGTTTTTCACCTGTAGGTATGCAGACATAGCAGACGTGAGAGAACACACTTGTCATTCCAGCACTCTGGAGGTAGAGGCAAGGAAAATCTCAAGCTGGAGACCAGTCTGGTCTACACAGCAAGGCACTGTTGCAGAACACAGACGGAGCCAGAGATGGGTGGGTGGGAACATGCTTGTCACACACGCATGTGGACCTAAGGTTGAATTTCTAACCCACATAAAAGTCAAGTGCAGGATTATATGCATGTAACTCCAGCGTTCATAGAGAGAGATAGTCAGGGGAGACAGGAGAATCCCTGGAAACATGTGGGCCTAGCTAGCCCAACCTCTGCCACTGCAAGCAACAAGAGACTGTCCCAAACAAAACAGAAGCTGAAGGTCTAGGATTAAGGCTGTTCTCTGACATTCATATGCAAACTGAATTCTCAGGCCTGTGTGCTTGCAGACTTAAAACAAAAAAGAAAAAAATAGTAACAACAAAAAAAGAAGTTGACCATAGTGGCTGTTTTTGGTTTTGTCTTGTTTTGAGACAGGATCTTGTACTGTAGCCTGTGATGACCTCAAACTTACAGATTTGCCTGCCTCAACTTCCCCTATCTTTAAAGACACACCCACACACGGTATAGGCTTTAGAGGCTAAGCCTCACCAGGCGGTGGTGGCTTGGGTCTTTAGGTCCACCATTCAGGAGGCAGAGGATCCGTGTTGGGTCCCTGAGTTCAAGATCAACCTGGTCTACAGAGCAAGTTCCAGGACAGGGAAATTCTATCTTGAAAAAAACAAAAACAAAAAAAGAAATGGCCTCAGCCCTAACGTTGGAATCCCTTCACTCAGCAGTTTTTGATGGTCATATTTCTCTCCTAGCCATGCTTAAGCACTTCAGGGGATGTGGTCATGAATTCTTCTGTTGGTTTTTGGAATGTTAAGTCACATTGCTAGAGGAAGCTGCTTCTGGGTCAAGAGCTGCAAACTCTGTGATCTGATCGAGGCCTCTCTCATCCTGAGAGGCCACTGTGTTCCCTACACCTCCAATAGAATTTCGCGGGAACTTACCTGGTCAATAACTGTGCCAAGATGATAGAAGTCTTGAAGTCTGGCTCGACGTTAGGGTATTTGCCTAGAATCCCCCAGTGAGGGACTGAGGGTGTGGCTCAGTGGTAGAGCCCCTGCCTAGAATCCCCAAGAGGGTGGGCTCTGGGGGTTTTTATATTCTTACCTCACGGCCTGGAGGGATGGCTCAGCCATTAAAGGCTAGGCTCACAACCAAAAATATTCTTACCTCACTTCCTGAATCCTTTCTCTATATTCTGTGGGTGAAAATGTGATCACTAGCTTACTGCTCCAGCTGCTGGCTACCATCAAAATGTTATCTTAGATAGATTAATAAAATATATACACAGAAGGTGGAGCTACAGCTATTTAGAACACTTGCTACTGGGCATGGTGACACACACCTTTGAACCACCTTTCTAGGCCCCTCCTTTCCTCCCACCTTGGTTTTTGAGACAGGGGCTCTCCATGGGATCAGCCTAGGCCAGCTGCAAGCCCTAGAGATCCACCTCCCCTGTGCCGAGGCTACAAGTGCATGCCACTGTGCCTACCTTTGTACTCAGAGTCTGGGGCTGGAACTCATGTCCTTATGCTTGAATGGCAAGCACTTTGCTCACTGTGCCCTCTCCCAGAAGACTCTAATACAGTGCAATGGCTTCCTCTGAGGCTCCCAGAGGTCACCAGAACAAGGGAAGGCCCCAGACTTTGCAGCCCTGCATCTGAAGAGCAGACGGGTATGCAGAACCGAAGTGTGCAGAAGAATGGGACTGGGGGAGGAGAGAATACGCAATAGAGTCCACCAAGCTCTCAGCCCACTTCCTTTCCTGGTCACTTCCCCTTCCAAGCCCTGTTGACAGAGCAGATTCCACAGGCCACATGTTTGGCAATCCCCTGGACACTCTGCCAACTTCTGTTTGGGTCAGGGATG